CACTTGCACCTCCCTGATATCGACCACGGCAGACGGCAGAATACTAGCACCTCATGCTCGTTGCCTTGGTTGCTGGCTCGCCCGCCAGTATTGCGCCAGTATTGCATCGCCAAATTGGACGGCCGTTTACCTGAATCCATGCTACCATATATACCATGCATCAGCTGTGTGATGAGTTGTTGAATCCTGCGTCGCATCGCATGCCGGCATCCGTCTACAAGACGCTCTTTTTTCCGTCGTGCATTATATAACCTTGAAATACTGTCGAAGTACTTTGCGCCCTACATGTACACTATGCTTTTTCTTTCTCTTATCATACTAGCTTTCGATAAGCGAACGCCTTCCCGATGTCACAATAAACATTCAATGTGCTTCTTCGTATAGCGCGTGTGGCAACCATCTTTGGATCTTCAGGGTTGAGAGATCCACTGCGAGCACGTGACGATCGATGACGTTAGCGGGAACTGCCGGAGCTACGACCATCGTTTGGTGCCTGCCATTCACCCCACACTCGCGAGCACACTCCACGCCTGCTCTCCTACCTCGACTACACACCACGAACCTTTTAGTGGACCGCCGAATATTCCCTCCCCGCCAACATGAACCGCCTATTCGGAGCCAAGAGCAGCGCGCCCAAACCGACGCTCAACAGCGCCATCTCCAATGTACGCTACACATTCTAGGCAGCACCCTCCGCACACTAATAGACCCAGGTCGACACACGCATAGAAAGTATCGACGTCAAGCTGGCGAAGCTTAATGCCGAGCTCTCCACCTACCAGCAGAAGCTCGCCAAGATGCGCGACGGCCCCGGCAAAACAGCCATCAAACAAAAAGCCCTCAAAGTCCTCCAGCAACGGAAACAATACGAAGCGCAACGCGACCAGCTGCAGGCGCAGTCATGGAATATGGAGCAGGCCGGCATGATGCAAGACAACCTCAAAAACACAATGACTACAATCGACGCCATGAAGACGACGACCAAGGAGCTACGGAAGCAGTACGGCAAGGTCAACATCGATAAAATCGATAAGCTTCAGGACGAAATGGCGGATCTTATGGATATGGGAAACGATATACAAGATGCCATAAGCCGCAGCTACGATGTGCCAGAGGACGTGGACGAGTCAGAATTGGATGCTGAGCTGGAGGCACTCGGTGATGAGGTCGACTTTGAGGGCATCGGAGAGTCGTCAAGCATGCCGAGTTATATGCTGGACGATGCTGCACCACCGCAGTTCATCGACGAAGCACCTACAACTGGCAACAAAGTCAAAGAAGCTGCAGGCTGATGAAAGAAGTGTCTGCGCACATACCCCAAATCGCATGGCGTCATGCGTGTCAACGAGTCTTGTTAGCTTGTTCGCCATAAAACGTACAGCTGAAATATGGCCATGGACCCGCAATGGTTGCCTTGCGCATGTTCAATAATGAAGCACGGGTCGGCCTGAACAAATCCATCCATCGGGAATGAACAACGACGATCAGCGGATTGGTAGGATGTAGGTCGGAGCTCGCCGATCAACAGGCTTTGAGAATTCCCAACACCAGTATCGTGTTAGGGTCGACGGAAGACGTACACAATGTGCAACATCATAGATGGCTAGCTAGGCGACACAATCGCGAAGGATACCTTACATCAATTAATGTATAACCCACAATTTACCCGTCTGCGTATGCACGAAAACTATAACGTCTATTGTCCGGCCTCGCATGTACCTGATATGCAAAGAAGTGTTCTATCAGGCCATTTGCAAACTCTGTAAGAGTGGCGTCTAGCTAATCATTGTAGCATGGTTGGATCGTATTCCTGCGGGCCGAGCGTCGCCATTGGCATGCCAGAGTAAAGACGTTCCATGGCTTGACATTCGTCAGCCATCGTCGTCGGCGCAACCATTGTGCTGGACGCACATAACCCTGGCCATAATTTTGTTACTTCATTCATTTCGACGATACCTAAGCGCTACGAAATCTACTTATTACCGGTCGCCTTCGCAGTTCCTCCTCCTCCCGAGCGTGCTTCAACGCCTCACCCATCCAGGCGACGTTCTCGTCTTCAATCAGAGCCTTCACGAAGGAGACCAGTAATAAGTAGATTTGGTAGCGCTAGGTACCGTTGAAGTGAATGGAATCAACAAAATACAAAAATGGATGACGCTCCGCCAACTCACACTGTAACACGATACGGACAGTCAAGCCTGTTTACACCAAATAGGGTATTGAGCACGAGTGGAAGATGCTTAAGCGACTCCCATACCTGCAAATACCAAAGCAGCAATGTTCATGAGAACAATGACGCCCCAAATGACGACTGCGAACGCCGTAGTGACCCAGTGGTTTCGCATTTGCACATAGCCATCTGTTGTAACATCCGTGTCTCTCTCGCCATTGTCGTCGGGTCTTACAGCGACTTTCATGTACTGCGCTCGGCAAGTGAACCAAATAAGCGGTGCGCTGACAAAAGGAAGAATCACACTTAGTGCGAACTGGCTGCCATTCAAGGCCTTGCTCAGCCCATCTTGTCCGACCGAGCCGGCGATGATGATCGAGGGCGTGATGCTGATGGATCGTGTTATGAGGCGACGAAGCCATGGTTTCATCGTCCAGTTCAACTGGCCTTCCGAGACCATCTGTCCAGCAATGGTGCATACGATTCCGGCCGAGGTACCAGAAAGAAGCAATGCCAGCGCGAAGATAGTACCGGCAACTGGCGCGATCGACCGGGACAAGAGTTTGTGGATAGAGAACAAATCGGCGTCTGTCGCTTCGGACTGACCGTACAGCGAAGCGCCAGACACAATGAGAATGGCTGAGTTGACGAAAAGAGCAAAGGTGAAGAGAGATATGGCAAGCTCTGCGATACTGTAGGACATGCAGTGTTTGATGGCTGCAAGGGAAGGCCTGTACTTCAGCTCGTCTGAAAGAGAATTCTCGTCTGCGTCGCGAAAAGAGGTGGAGTTATTTTGGTCGTCGTACTCGCGCAGGCGTGGCTGAACAATGCCGCTACCAAGGTAGAGGCTGTGAGGCATGACCGTGGCGCCCAAAATGCCACAAGCTTGGTATAGACTGTACCCACTTAGTAAGTGTACCCTATAGAACGATGTGTAGTACTCACGCTTGCGACTTGACCAAAGTAGAAGATGGAACGAAACCATCGAAGACTTCACCGACTGAGGCGTGGATCTTGCTGAGTTCAAAACAGAAACATATTACAACACCGAGCACGAGTAGTGCTACGAAATACTCGAATCCGCGAAGCGCACGCATAGTGCCCGAAGGGGAGTAGAAGATAAGAATGATCAAAACATCCACGATAGATAGTGCGCACCCGGCGACCAAAGGGACTTTGATGAGAATGTTCAGAGCAATGGCTGTACCAATCACCTGTACAGGTTAGCATGGGCTAACAGCAGGAGAAAGAAGACTCACTTCAGCGATATCTGTCGCGATGATGGCTGACTCTGCAAAGAAATAAAGCGTATAATTCATCCACCGCGGAAGATGAGCCCTGCAGTTCTCTGCGAGGTTCATGCCGGTGACGGAACCTAGTTTGATGCAGAGCGACTGCAAGAAGATGGCGAAAATATTAGACATTAGTACGATGAAGAGAAGTTTGTACTCGAAAGAAGCACCAGCTGCAACGTCGGTCGCGTAGTTTCCTTGAACTAGTTAGCGTTTCCTTAATAATTTTAGATGGTTGTTGCAGCTCGCGCAGCTGCGCAACTTCGCCATCTACAGATCATGGCTCACCAGGGTCGATGTATGCCACGGCAACCATGAAGCCAGGTCCTACAAACTTCAAGTACTTGCGGACAACTTCAATGGCGCCACCCAAGATACCCCCGCGACGCTTCTGTCGATCGACATGTTGTTCTTCGTTGAAGATGGCAGACGGTCTGATGGCCGTACTAGCAATGTCATGGTCCACACTCCTGGTTGCATCGCTCCTCCTGCGCAAGCCGTCGAAAGCTTTAGGTTGCAGTTCACCGTCCTCTTCAGTCGCTTGCCGACGATCTATCGCTATGTCGTTATCCGTGTTGTGACAATCTATTCGATTATTATCCCTGGCCCTTGCGTTCGCCAAGTATCCTAGATCCGCCCTCGTCGTCGCATCTGTGTTGAGCGCATTCGGGCTCTGGTTGTATCCTTCCGGAAATTCCGGATCCGTGCGCGAAGGACAATTCATCGCGAGTATTTGGGTGGGCGCACAAACAGGCGTCCAACTCCGCTTCTACACCGATGTATCAAAGTCAAGTTGACAATGTATAGCGGTTGATGTAAAGAGTTTCCAAGACTTTGACAGGATTATTGTGGGGTTGATGGCCTCGCCGGGTATTGCGGCTCCGAGTTGGCGCATTCTAGTTACGGGGTTATTGTGTCCGTGCATCAAGGACGCGTAAACGACTTGTCTTGTGAGAGACTAGACCTACGGTGATAAGTCAGAATCTCATCATCAACTCCAGCTCGACAGAGATCTAGTGTCGAGGATCAGGCGTATGGAGCCCTACAACTACTAAACGACGACGACTACCAGAATGTGCGGGGTGTAAGAAATATCGTACTACTCAAGCTAGTTTTCTAACTAAATACTAGTGTTCTCTTCGGTCATATGCTTGAGGTCACATGACCATTGCCTCCATCGCCTGACTTGATAAGATACCGAGTGGATAGAGTAGATCTGCGGCATGGCTGAAGAGTCCCGTGGTTTAGATCTAGCAACGGTTGGAGCGAATATGAAGTCTCCCCAGTCCGATAGGGCATTGGTAGCGCCTGGGAGTTGATCGAATGGAACAGGCGATGCTAGAGTGGCATCATGATTCTTCATGTATGCGTTTAATAATTTTGTTAATTTTGTTAATTTTGTTAATTTTGTTAGGAGTTCCACTGGAGTATGACGACTCACAACAATTTCTATCAACCTAATTTCTGAACCCTCGCATCTATAATGACCATAGTCCGCACTTTGGTATCTCAAGGGCAATTTGTGTAAAGCAGTGCGATCAAACGTCCACGATATGACACCCCTCGTGCCCACTGACGTAAAGTTCAACATAAACCAACAAGATGACCAAACCAGCGAGCAAAAGCACAAATTGCATTTGCAAGCTTGCAAGATTCCGGAGAGCCCGCCACCCGTTTGTCCCTCGGTAAATCTCCGTCTTCTCCCCTAAAGCTTCTCCAGCCTCATTCCCATCCTCATCAGCACACAGCGGTCTCAAGTATTCTTCGACCTCCCTTCTACCCCTCCACCGCGCAGCCATCAATGGCGTCCTTCCTTCCCGATCCCTCCTCTCCAGATCCTGCATTGCACCCCGCTCAAGCAACTTCTCCACTGCTCCCAGATTTCCTATATCAGCCGCATGATGTAGCGCCGTCTGCCCATATAGATCCGACGAGTGAATATCAAAACGGGAATCTAGCACAAAATCAATGGCTTGAGTTCGCGGACTCGTCGTCGCGAAGTGCAAAGGCGTTCGCCCATACCAATCGCATAAAAGTAACGCGTCTTTGGCGTGCGGGCTACCGAGGATGTATTCTATGAGGGCGATGTTGCCTCTCTGAAGGGCAAGATGTAGGACAGTCCTGCCATCGCTGTCGCGGGCGGCGAAGGGATTGGAAATTTCCTTCAAACAGATAGCGATATCTTCTGCTGTGGAGGTTTTGCTGTACGCGGCATAGTGCGCAACGGTCATGCCAAGGTAGTCTTGCGTCGTGTTATCAATATCATCTCGGCAGTATCTTATGGTTTGCTGTAGCGTCGTGTTGTAATAGCAGTGTAGGGGCGTACGGCCTCGGCGGTTTTGGTGATGTAAGTTGGACCCATGTTTGAGAAGCAGTCGAATGATTTCGTAGTTGCATGTCGTTTTGACAGCAGTGTGCAGTGGAATACTATTCAGTGTGAGGTAGCTAAGTCGTGGATCTCAAATTGAGGGTGGAAACTTACTCGCCTTCGTCGTTAGTTGCATTGACATCTGCTCCAGCAAGGAGAAGCTCTCTGACGATCTCAATATGGCCATACTCTGTGCCAATCTAAGGATAGTGAGCCAGCCATATCTCATCACCAAAACCTGATGACTCACATGTAGCAGGGTGTCACCATATATCGTTCGATGTGTAATTCTGATCTCCTTGTTAACCAGCAAGTCCCTCAAGAACAGCCAATTCCCTGTCGCCGCCGCATGATAAGCTGAGCTATTGAACCGAAGCAGTCCCACAAAGTTCAATCTCCATTTTACATCTATTGAGAACATGCTGGAGGTAGAATACATCGCGAGTATCTTGAGGGACAGTCGTCCAGGTAACAGTCGCGTAATCTGGAATGCAACGGCAAGACCGTAGGCTTCTGCCGCTGGCATCAAAGAATAAGTGTCCTGCCCAGTGTTTGACCAACTGCGAACCATTACTGGGCCACCCTGGACAATTGCTGTCATCGTATCCCCAAGATATTCGAAGCGCTCCTGAATCCTTAGATCGACTGGGTCGCGGAGTGTTGAGAGGAACATGCTTAAGCGTCCAGGCATTAAGCTGCTAGGTGCTTGGAGAGTACCTGTGACGCTGCTTGGGTCTTGTGTTGGACGTACCAAAGCCTGTCCAGCAGGTGCGGCATCTCCTGATGCAATCGTGTGACGCTCGGTAAGTTTGGCGGTGTGCTCGAAAATTCGTATCGACATGGAGCTGATAGGGTATTAGTCTTGAGTTGATTGATACTACATGAAAAGTGTGGGTACAGTTGCGCAGCAGCCGCAGCGGCTGCAAAGACCCTATCCCAGTGGTCCAGAGACTGATTAAATCTCTTCAAGTCACGATCTGAGGCGAGCCATCTGACTCTCTCCCAGGCATGCTGCACTCTTCCTTGATCCATCCGTATGCCCATCCCTTGCACTTTCGCGGTGAAGCGATCGATTTCTTGCGTGAAGGAGATCACGTTCTGTTGCAAGACCGTGTCCAGCTGCAAGTCGGGTGGCAAGGCTGCGAATACGCTCAAGAGGTGATGGAAGCTTTGCTGAAGACATTGCAGCTTGATTGACTGGGCGTAGATATCTTTAGGCGCATCGTGAATATCGAGGACGAATTCGGATACAACCTTGCAAGACTGGCCAGCGGCAGTGATAAGCGTCAAGAGGCTGGCAGTAAATGAGATAGGATCCATCGAGTAGTGGCTCTAGAGAGTCTTCTCTTCTTAGCAGAGGAGCGGTCATTGATGTCAAAAAGCAGCAACCTGCTACATAAAGCGTGTTCCGCAGCTAGGGGCGTACACTAGCCATGTATTTGTTGGGTGATGCTGAGATAAATGAAGCTGTGACGCGAGGAGACGTCAACGGTAAGGCTCAGCCTCCTATCGGGATGTCTCTCCAATAGAACGTGAGCTCTGGTTACATCAAGGTTGACTGGAAGCCTTGGCAAAGGTGAGAAAAGAATACAGTATATCAGCTGAGCCTTGCCAGCGAGAGGACCTACTAACAAGGCTTCAACATCAACGGCAGTCGCATCAAGGCAGAGCGAGCATCGATCATAAAAGACAATCCTGCAAGGTTCGCATCATGCCACAACGCCCACCAACGCCCGCTGGCGCTAGGCAGCCAGGCGCTGATGACGAAAATGTATACAAGGCTAAAGATCAGGTGGTGGTGTGGGAAAGCGACAAAAGTGAGTGAGCTCCTCGTCGGTAGCATGTCTGAGACTGACTGTGATGGGTAGCGGACTGGACTGCTGGCAAGGTGCTGAAAGCCGAAGGTTCGAGCGACGGTGCGCGAAGCTGTTCTGTGCAGTATGGCCCGAAGAACAACATAGACACGTTCAAGTGGGAGAACATGCGCTTGACGCATAGGGACGGCTGAGTGGGCCGCTAGTTAGCTGTAATCGATCAATTGATGTCTGTCGGGGCAAGTGCGGCTCGAGCTCTGGTTCCCGCTCCCGCCCTAGCGCCGTCATACTGCCCCATGCTGTGTCGCCATTCCGCTACCGCTACTGTTCCTTTCGTTCTCTTCTCGCAGAGCGACATGCCCCCGACTAGCGACGAAGGTGACGATCGCTTTGACGTGGCGCACCAGTATGGCAGTCACCCACTTGGGCCTGCCGGTTTGCTTCGGTCTGCGCCTGCCACAAACTCCAGTTTACCCCGGAACTACCAACAGACGGCGCCCAACCCAGATTTAGGCCCTACATACGGCAACGTCTCCTGCCCTATGCGTCCAGATCCCCAAGCGCCTGTTCATATCATCAGGCTTCTCACGTAGGTCCGCCGTTTGCGCCCTTGCTTTCAGAAGTCGACACTGACGCGAACGCAGCCCTGGCCCTGGTCACCCCGCCTTCATGCTTCCCGGCGCAGGAAGGATCCACGATGCCTCCTCTGCCATGTCCCGAGATACGTCCAGCCAGAGTCTTGCCCTGACGCCCTCACCTTCTGAATCCCATGCCGTAATACCGGGCACGTCGACAGTGGGGAGCAAAGCGGCAGACGCAAGCGTCGACGAAGATAAGGATCCAGCCGACGCGGATCTGTTCCTCAGACACGTGCCACAGAGCACATTGTCTGATTATCATCCGCGAAGAACCACTGGGGGTGATTACGGGCCCTTGCGTGAGCTTGGTAAGCCGCTTCTGCCTGTTAAGTGTGCTGTTGCTGACCTTTGTAGACATAGGAACTCACGATTCCTCTGAACGCATTTCTCCCTTTGCTAGGATTCGAAAGCTCTACAGGCAGTAAAGCAAACTGGCTGGAATGCTCATTTTCCGATTTGGTGTATAGAAATTATGTATGCACGACGATGTACAATCACAGGTCAAAAGTTTTGCGCGCCAAGCGATTTCTCACCAAAACAAGGTATCTTTGCAACGCTACAACCTTTTACCTACATAATAAAATTCTTAGAAAATTAAATGTATAATAGGGCTTTACTAGCTTTTATTTTTAAAAGAAAAAGCTAAGAAATAAATCTAAAAGTGTACTAGAAGTATAGAGTTAAAGTTAAAAAATTTAGATTTTCTTAAAATTTATAACGTAGTTCACAAGCGAGTGACGCACCCAAGCGAGTGACGCACCCAAGCGAGTGACGCACTTTTGCCAAGACCTCACCAAACTTCAATCAAGTCGTAATGCCTCAACGCAACAGCGTAAAAACAATCTCAAACGAAGCGGATATACAGCTTGCGATACAGGCTATCTAAAGAGACGCGTCACTAACAACGCGACGCGCTAGAGCTATCTATAGCGTCTCTGAAGCAACACTACGAAGGCGACTCGCTGGGACGCCTCAACGACGCGATTGCGCGCCCAACTTAATGGCTCTTCGAGGATCTGAAGAGATAGCGATTATTAAACATGTTCTTAAGCTAGTAGAGCAAGGATATCCGCCTAGGCTCGCTGATGTTGAAGAGATAGCTAGTTCTCTACTTAAGATCCGCAATCAGAAGCCGGTTAGCAAGAACTGGGCTACAAACTTCGTAAATCGTCGTTCTGAGCTTAAAACTAAGTTTAATCGAAAGTACGACTATAGTAGAGCCCTCTGCGAAGATCCTGAGGTTATTCAAGGCTAGTTCCGCCTAGTACAGAATACGAAGGCGAAGTACGGCATCTAGGACGAAGACACGTACAACTTTGATAAGACTAGCTTCATGATAGGCGTAATATTGACTGGCGCGGTAGTCACAGCAGCAGACCGTCGAGGACGGCCAAAGACAGTGCAGCAGGGCAACTAGGAGTGGGTCACAGCTATCTAGGGCATGAACGCGACGGGGTAGGCGATTCTACCCTTTATTATCTTCTAAGGCAAGCACTACCTCTCCGCCTAGTACAAGGAGGAGAGCCTGCCTTGAGACTGGGTAATTGCAGTCTCTGAGAACAGCTAGACGACAAACAAGCTTAGTATCGAGTAGCTAGAGCACTTTAACAGGCATACAAAGGGGAGGGTTGTTAGCAGCCACCGCCTGCTAGTTCTCGACGGTCACGAGAGCCACAGCTCAATTGATTTCCACCAGCTCTGCGAGGAGAAGAAGATTATCACCCTCTGTATGCCTCTACACTCCTCGCACCTACTGCAGCCGCTTAACGTTGGCTGTTTTGCGCTGCTAAAGAAGGCGTATAGGTGCTAAGCTGAGAAGCTAATGCGCAACAAGATCACCTACATCACGAAAACAGAGTTCTTACTGTGCTTTATTGCTGCCTACAAGGCCTCTATTACAAGGAGCAATATCTTAGGAGGCTTTCGAGGCGCTAGCTTAGTTCTATTCGATTTAGAGGCTGTGATATCGACGCTCGACGTCCGCCTGCGTACTCCACCGTTACCCACCGTTGAGGACGGTCCCTAGCAGTCGCAAACCCTAAGCAATACTCTAGAACTAGGGTCTTAAACGAAGCTAGTTCTCGAGAGGTTTTAGAGGCATGTAGATAGCTCGCCTACTTTAATAGTTAAGGCGGTAAAAAGCCTCTCTAAAGGCGCAGAGATAATAGCGCATGCTTTAGTGTTGTCGCAAAAGCGTATCGCTAAGCTTGAAGCAGCTAACGAGGCCGCTACGCAACGTAAATCGTATAAAAGAAAGCGAGTATAGAAGGAGAGGACCCTTATAGTAGAGGAAGGTCTTCGACTAACAACTCTAAAGGAGTTTAGGGCGCGCAGCGATAGGAAGAAGGCAAAGAAGAAGGCGCGCGTTAAAGTAGGCGAATCGTCTTAAAGACGCTGTAGACGCTGCGGCGAGGTAGGACACAACTTGCGCACATGTACGTAGGATGTAGTAGATATTTCTAAATAAATTAGGCTACTACGAATATTAATTACTGTTCTTAACAGTGCTGCATAGTAGTGCGTAGTTGCAGGTTTAGTTAGGTCTTAGCAAAAAGGTTCTACTCGCTTGAAGGTTCTACTCGCTTGTGACCTACGTTAACGTAAACTATCACTGAGCTAGCTATATTACTGAGCTGGCTACTTTTCCTTAGCACGACTAACTTTCTCCTTATTAAACAATGCCTTAACAACATAACGCGATTACTATTTAAGAGGAAGGCAGAGTTAATCTTGCCCTTAAAGCCTATACTATTAGTGTGAGGCGTAACTGTAGGCAATAGTGCTTGCTTCACGTTACTAAGGATAGTGGGAGATAGCTCATATATTCGGACTACAGGTGTAGGTTGTAAAGAGAATAATCCTTGCCTCGCTCTGTAGAGCGAGGCGCGCCTTATAAGCAGGTTTAGCGCGTACTTAGCTCCTTCGAGGGACGTGTGTCTCAAGCCCTCGTTACAGAACCTCCCCCTCTAGTCTGGCGTCCTCGACAGCAGCGGCCTCAATAAAAACCTCTCTTGTTGTTTCAAGAGTAGGAAAAGAGTGTCCTCTACTATGCGCCCTAGGTCCGTCGCGCTTGCGGCTCCCTTGCGTTGTTCTCATGTAGCCCGTATGAGGCTCACAACTCACCCTACAGTGAGGAGATGTGACGGAAAGAGTTGTAAGGACTGTTGCTTTGTTGTAATATTGTTGCCTTGTTGTGATGAAAATTTTTCATGTTGTCGAGGTGAAGGCGGAAAATTTTCGCTCGCTTGTGGTGATAGCAAACGGTTGTTGTTGTGACATATTGCTGTTGTCCTCTATGTCCCTTACACGCTCAACACCTTCGCATTGCACACCATATAACGATACAACGCACACTCATCGCACACTACTCGCACTTCAAAATGGTTTTCTATCCCACTCCCAAGTACATTTCGAAAACCGTCGTTAGGAAGGCCGATCCTTACGAGTGGAGCGAGCGCGACAAGCGCGTGTCGGAGGTGGCTATCACGCCGACTTGCCTGCGCTGCGCACAGAACGTAGCGACCGGCAAAAAGCTTTGTAAAAAGCCGGAGCAGAAGCGCTGTGGCCATTGTGTCAAGGGCAATCGTGGCGGTTGCTCCCTAGTAACTTCCCCTTGGTTCTTCTAAACATTTAGGCTTTTGCTAACATTTTTGTAGGTTCCTGGGGATATGGTTGGCAAGCTCAACCGGCTGTATCGCCTCCGGGCCAAGTATGATACTGCTGTGTCAAGTTCCGGCAATCCCAAGATCAGTGCTACTGTGCTGGGTGCTGGCGCCAAGCTTGCGCGTTGCCAGCGCCAATTCAACCTCGAGCTCGCGACCCGCCGCCGTACCGCTGCCCATACGGGTACTCCTATGGGAGTTCCCACCCAGATTCCCAAGACCAGTGCGGACTTCCTGAGCTTGATCCTGGTTGAGCAGCGCAGGATCGCAGGCGCTTTGGAGCAGGTCGTCAAGCACATGGCACACTCGGTATGCG